GTGTGTGCTGCCAATTTAATGGCTTACTGCAAAACAAACGCTGAATGCGTTTAACTTTTCGCCTTTTTGAAAAGCAACAGTTCTCTTCAGATATCTTTCAAGTAGTGAAAAAAAAAAACCGATACGGATCTAGGTATTTTATAAAATCAAAGTGACATAAAATAAACTTTCCTAAAGTGAGGGAGACCTATACTGAATATAGGTTGTATTTAGCTTTGAGAAACCAGTTGTTCAGTGACTGGAAAGTTTTTCTCTACTCAGAGCATATAATGGTTTGTACCCTTGTGTACATATGCTCACACCTGTCTCAAGGTACACTTAAAGTAACCTCTAAACTCTAATCTGCCTTCATAGTTCCTTGAGCCACAAGAGAGTTGCCATGAACAGTGAGCTGACAGCAGCATCTGGGGTCCAAATGTTTATTCCTCCGTACATCCAGGCTAGGATGTGGAAGAGTTTCCAAGAGTTTCCATAGAATTTTCAAGGCTGTAATCTTTTGTTGTTGCTGTTGAGAATATACACAGAAAAATATATCCCAATTCAACATTTTCCACATATGCAATTCAGTGACATTGATTACATTCTTCAAGTTGTGCAACCATGCTAACCTCGTTATTTATTTCTTTGTTTTTGAGTTTTCCTTCTTCCAGTAACGTAAACTCATTGCCCCCTAAGGTTCCTGTCTAATCTTTCAAGCTACCATTATCACTTTGCTCCCATGTAAATAGTTCTCGACAGAGCATAATGCTCCATCTCTACCCTTCTCCCACAAAGCAGCTAGTGGGTTCAAACCATTGACCTTTTCAATTAGCAACTGAGCTCTTAACCACTGCACCACCAGGGTTGCTTTGAATAAAAGAAGTACTCAAATGTTTGATTTATTCTGAAATATGCATTTACCTTTTGTTATAGCTCTTTTTCTTGAAAAGAAATGTCATAATTCCTAAATGAAAACTAGTTTTTCCATCATGGGTCTGAAATTATCTAGCCCCATTGCCCCTTTGAAACAGTGGTTTTGAAACAGGATTTTTGATAATAAAAGGCTTCTTATCAATTCAAACATTATATTGGAGTAGACTAGACTATGAATGTAGTATATATCTAGCTTTAGTTCAGACATGTAGAAATTTAACCTTAGGCTGGTTAAAGTAGGAAAAGGTATGTTCGTAGAATGGAAAGTAACAGACTTGATAAATACATGAATTACTGTTTCCGTGTCTAATTAGAAGGTGGTGCCCACATCATCTAGGTATGTCATCAGTTTTATAGGATGCATTTTGTGATTCATTGGTACACATTGCCACCTCCATGTGGCAGAAATGAGCATTGGGGTTAGTTTGCATGTTTTAGTGTCTTTCTTGTCATCAAGGAACCTTGGTGGCGCAGTGGACTAAGTGTCAGGCTGCTAACTGGAAGGCTAGTGGTTTGAACCCATCAGCCATTCTATGGTAGAAAGATAAGGCAGTCTGCTTCCCTAAAGATTTACAGTCTCAGAAACCCTATGGAGCAGCTCTACTCTGTCCTAGAGGATCACTGTGAGTTAGAACTGACTCTATGGCAGTGGGTTTACCTTGTCATCACCTAGGTTTGCAAGCCATCAGAAATTAAAAGGAAGCCAAACACACAGAGAGCTGAGAGTGGGATGGTAGAGTTGTGGACATACTGTGTATAAACAATCAAGACGTATGTGGTGAAGCTGTAGGATAAGCACTAGAGTGGTCAGCAGTTCAAACCCTCCACTGCTCTTGAAAACCCTACAGTCACCCCGAGTCAGAACCGACTCAACGGCACACAACAACCTGGTTCGTTCATATACTCAACAGCTCTCAAACCTGAGTTGAAATAACTTTCTTCTTCCATGAAGACTTGTGACATTCTCCCTGAAAACAGAATTGCTCCTTCTCTGGTACTTCCATTGACTTATCTAAGAGCCATGGTGGATCAGTGGGTTAATAGCTCAGCATTTAACCTACCCAGCAGCTCCACAGACGAAAGACCCGGTGATCTGCTTCCATAAAGGTGTTGTTGTTAAGTGCCGTCAAGTCAGTTCCCACTCATAGGGTTTCTGAGGAGCAGCTAGGGGGTTTGAACCACCAACCTTGAGGTTACCAGTTCAGTATGAATCCAACTGTGCCACAGCAAGACTCCATAAAGATAACAGTCAAGAAAACCCTATGGAGCAATTCCGCACTGTCACATGGGGTTATTATGAGTCAAATCAACTGGATAGCACCTAACAACAACATCGCCCACAAAACAATGATCTTATTTCATTGTGACCTTGTGTTTTCTTGCCATGTCTTCCAGAGAAAGAGTTGTTGTTAGTTGCCATCCAGCCAATTTTAATTCATAGTGAAGTGTAAATGGTTAAGCAGTAGTCGGCTAACTGAAAGGTTGGAGGTTCAGATCCAACAAGGACTTCTCTGAAGACAGCCCCAGCAGTCTGCTTTGCAAAGGTGATAGCCTTGAAATCCTTACGGAGCAATTCTGTTCCACACACATGGGGATCCCTTGAGTGAGATGGAGAAGAAGGGTCATTTCTCTATATGCCCAGACTTATTGCCTAGTTAGCACTAAACAATTATTCCTTGAATGAATGCACCAACTGTTCTTTCAAACTGGTTATCAAAAGCCTCTTGAAAGAGGTCATGAGATGGTCATACAGCTGCTTTAAGTTCCATACGTGACACTATTAATGGTTTCTTGAGAAGAAATGAGGAAGATGGATTTGGAGGCACTTATTATCTTTTAGAACCATTTGTAGAGATCACTTTAAATTTTCAGTTAAAAAAATCCCTTCATCTTCTGAGGCTTTGTAAACTGGATCAATGCCAAGAATGTCCTTTATGGCTGAGTTGTAAACCAGTGGAAAATAGGATTTATATATTCTGAGTTTACTGGTGCTATTTCTATAGCTCCTCTCAAGGATTACAGTTCTTAAAATGTTAATATGCAGTCAACAGTAAATGTCTGCTTTCTCTTGGACAAAGAAATAAGTGTATGATTGGGCATTATACTTAGTGGTGAAAGAGGAGAAGACTATGATTGTGGGCCAGATCTTCTGAGGGATGAAGCTGATGATGTCTCACATGAGCTTGGATCACCAGAAGAGACACTATTTGAGGACACTGCCATCCCATTTAGAAGACTCCCTAGTGGCTCACTAATTAAATGTTCAACTGCTAGCTCAGTTCAAGCCCATCAGCCACACCAAGGGAGAAAGGACCCGGTGGTCTGCTCCCATAAGGATTACAGCCTAGGAAACCCTATGGGACAGTTCTACTGTGTCATACCAGGCCACTGGGTCTGAACTGACTCCATGGCACACAACAACAACAACAACCCATTTAAGGAAATTACTGGCTCACTGATGAGTTATTTTAAACCTGTGTCTTCTTTGTTACACTCATTTTACTACTTCCAACTCTCACTATGTTGAAAATGACCTGATTATTTTTGAAACTTCCAGGACCTTTGAAAAGTGTGCTTCCTTCAATGGAGCCATATTCCCTGACTCCATAGTTCCGAAATAATTCACTTAGAGACTGAATTCGGCCTTAATCAGTTCATCTTGTTTCTAGGATTTTTTTCTGAGGGATTAACCTTTCATCTTGCTGTGCTGTGAGCCATGCAGGTAGAAAGGAAGCCTCCTTTTGCCAAGGATAGTGCTACTGTTTTTGATAACTGTTAGGGGATGTTTACAACCAATCATAAAATAACACAGAGCACAAGAGAGTAGGAAACAAATATGAGTTGTGCATTCACTAGAATTTGTCATACATTTCTTCACCTCCCCACTCTGAAATCAACAGGTAACATGTTTCAAAAATCTGCCTCAAGTTTTTCAGAATACAAGGGGCACAAAGGGCATATAGAAGAAATCTAAACTCATGATAGTGGTGATAGTGTGCCATGGAGTCGGTTCCAACCCATAGAAACCCTGTGTCGAGTTTCTGAGGCTGTAAATCTTTACGGGAGCAGAAAGCCTCTTCTTTCTCCCGAGGAGCAGCTGGTAGTTTCAAACTGCTGAGTTAGCAGCCAGACTCATAAGCATTATGCTACCAGAGCTTCTCTCCTGGTGTAGTACTATACGATAAGCACTGGACCACAAGGTGAGTTTGAACCACAAGGTTGGCAGTTCAAACTCACTAGCCGCTTCTGGGAAATGCTATATGGGATTGCTATGAATCAGAACTAACTCAATGGCACTTAACAATAACAACAAACTGATGGGATACATGCAAATGTCTATCTACCGATGTACAGGAGTCCATCCCAATAAATATTACCAGAGCCCTAGCACTATGCTCTTTTTCACAAGCAGAAATTGGTCCAGTCCCATAATTAGTATAGTTGTTGTTACTGTTAAGCAACCCTGTATACGGTTTCCAAGGAGCAGTTGGTGAGTTTGAACCATCGATCTTGTGATTCAGACTGACCTTGTGGTCCAGTGCATTATCCTGCAGCACTATACCAGCATACATTAGCCTAAAATGAGGAGTTGTATTTACTCCGAACCTAACCTACTTCTGTCTGGCAATGAACTTTTAGTAATCTACTTCTGAAAGAACAGCCATTGAAAACCCTATGAAATACAGTTCTACTCTGATACACACGTGGTCTCCATTAGTTGGAATCAGCTCACCAGCAGCTGGTGGTGGTGGAGGTAGGGACTTTGACAGGTGCTCATGGAGTCCTGGCATGGCACTGTAGGATAAGCACTGGACTTCTGACTGCAGTGTCAGCAATTCAAACCCACCAGCCACCGCTCGGAAACTCTACACAACCTATATAGGGTTGCTACCAGTTGGTACCAACTCAAAGTCACTAAATAACAATGTACCTGTTAAAGCTCATTCAGGTGCTCCTGCTTCCAGGCAACTTCTTTGATATCCAGTGCAGATGCTGGAGTACCCAGCTCTTGAACCATCCCTGTGTTCCCTGGAGTGTGGGGTGATTCCCTTTGTGTACTGATCATTCATGTTTTCCCTTTATCACAGGAGGACTGTGCCCAGGGTCCAACGATCCTTGTGTGGAGAAGCCGTGCCCAGGGGATATGCAGTGTGTTGGTTATGAAGCCAGCAGGAGACCATTCCTCTGCCAGTGTCCACCAGGAAAGCTTGGAGAGTGCTCAGGTGCAGAGTGGGGTAAAATGATGAGGGGTGAATTGTGTATTTCTGCAGCATGTGCTCTTGGGTAAATTGAACTTTCAGGAGATGTTTCTGTCTTTGTACAAGTTTCCTTCAGGATGCTCCACAGATAACTTCCACCCTCAAATTGATTAGAATTTATCACAGCTATCCAACTTGATGGCACTTAACAACAACATAGCTGTATAGTGATTGTGGACTCCATGCATAATGGGGAGAACACATGTGTGTTTTTAATCATGTCTCTTGAATGTTGTTGTTGTTAAGTGTCATCAAGTTGGTTCCCACTTACAGTAACCCGTATAGGGTTTCCAAGGAGTAGTTGGTGGGTTTGAACTGCCGACCTTGTGGGTCACAGTCCAGTGCTAATCCTATAGAACCACAGCAGGAGTCCTCTTGGATGTTAAGAGTATGTTGCTGTTGTTGTTGTTGTTGTTAAGTGTCATTGAGTCGGTTCCGACCCATAGCAACCCTGTATAGGGTTTCTGAGGAGTAGCTGGTGAGCTTGAACTACTGACCTTGTAGTTCAAATGGCTTTGCAGTCTGGCGCATGAACCCACAGCGCCACACCAGGACTCCGTTAAGGGTGTAAAACTATGGAAAATGGACTGCTGGGCAGAGGAGTCAAGCTATCTGTGGCACAGGCTTTGATGTTTAGAAATTTGTACAAATCCATCGTCCCGATGTGATGCTGTAAGATAAGCACAAGGTCGGCAGTACAAACCCACCAGCTACTCCTCAGAAACCCTATGCAGGTTCGCTCTGAGTCAAAACCGACTCAATGGCACTTAACAACAATAACAATCGTCACAAAACAGAGATCAACAGAAAGTCTAGCTGAGCCAATTCTGTTAACATTTAATAGAACAAGCCCAGCCTAGAGGATCAATTAAGCACAGATTCTCCACTGTTTTGTTGTTAAGTGCCGTGGAGTTAGTTCTGAGCCATTACATCCCTGTGTATGATTTCCGAGGAGCAGTTGGTAAGCTTGAACCGCCAACCTTGCAGTTCAAATTGACTTTGCAGTCCAGCGCAAATTCTCCACTGTTGTTGTTAAGTGCCACTCATAGCGACCCTGTACAGAGTTTCCAAGGAGCAGCTGGTGGGTTTGAACTGCTGTCCTTGTGGTTCTCAGACCTTGTGGTTCTCTGGTGTGCTGATCCACAGCGCCACACCAGAAATGTATAATTACCTGTGCTTTCATAAAGAAGAGATGCTCACCTCTGAGCCTTAAAAAAGAAACGGCAGGAGAGGTGGGGTTGTCATACTAGTGTTTGTATGATTTCAATCCAAACAGTCATCCAATTCTGATTTCAATGCTTCATTTCATTCATGTCTTCCCTGTCACTTCCTTCCTTTAAAATATTATTTACTTTTGGTACCTGTTATGTGGTGTACTGAAAATACAGGCCAATTTTGGGATCCAAGAAATACTTATTGAGTGATGATAATAATAATAGTATTTTGGGTGGTCTTGAAAATTTATTGTGCCTAGTATGCGGTGGCTTCAAAAAGTTCATGGAAAACTGGAATTAAAAAGTAGTGGAATTTTTCTATGAATTTTTTGAAGCCCCCTCCTGTGTGCAAGGCCCTTTGCTAAGCAGTAGGATTCTAGCAATCCAGCCTTTGCAAAGAGAAACATTGTTCTTGAAAAACTGGAAACCATAGCTCTTTCATAGTTGATTTTTAAAATGGAACTACCCATAAAGTAAAGGAATCACCAGTATACTTGTCTTTGAGGTCACCTAGTTTCAAATTTAGAAGGTAATTAAGCTGCCCACCCTGCTTGCACACAGCAGGTAGATATATGAAGTGACAATAAGCTCAGACTTCTTACTTCAGAGCTCTCTGTCTGCCAATCTCCCTTCTCAATTCTATATAGAACACTTTTGATGGTCTGTCTGTGATTATCATCCAAGTGGTGTATTTCTACACTTCCTACCTTTTACCCCAGGAAGGCAGCTTTTCAGTCATTGCTTTGCTTGTTAAAACAAAGTTGTAGACTGAATAAAAGAGAGTGAATTCAGAATTGGGCAATGTGAGTATGAATAAAGAATTTGGAATATGGTTTCTTAAAATTGACGGGGAGGATGTAGGGTTGTGACTAATTTTATTAATTTCTTTTACATAAATTGCCTTTTTCTAGTATTACTGTAAATTTGGGGTTGGAATGCTTAGTTAAAATGGGTATTATTTGAAAATGGTTTTATTGTGTTTCCTTTTTTCTGGAAATAAAAATTCTCGAGTGTCTAGATGATTGGAAGAGGGGGGATTTTAGAGGGGCATCCTTTAATAGGGCTGATTTTTGAGACTGAGAGTTTTAAATGTAATAACACTATGCAAATCTAGGTTGTAGAATTTATCAAGTTACCCTTGGCATGAGACAACTAAGATTTTTTTTAGCAACTGACTGGTTAAATTTTTTTTTTTCATTCTGTAATTTGAATATAATATGAAATGGAGAACTATTTTTAATCAAAAAATTCCTTCTCCTCAGTTCCTTCATCAACTTCCCATGGTCTTTAATCAATTTGCTTGGTAGGTGTTGGAATATTTCATGTGTCTGCTTTCTTCTGGACGTTAAAAGTATCTACATCTTCTCATAATGGTCCTTTCAGGGCACACTTCTCTCAGCTTTGCTGGAAACAGTTACATCAAATACAGACTTTCTGAAAATAGCAAAGAAGAGGACTTTAAGCTATCTCTGCGTCTGCGAACTCTACAAAGCAACGGGATTATAATGTACACCAGAGCAAATCCCTGCATAATTCTGAAGGTAATTAAGATAAATTCTCTTTTCTTGCAGCCAGTTCTCATGCTAGTGTTTTGGCTCTTGGGTTAGAGGCTATTGAAATCATTTTGCCTTTAAGTTCAGAAGACCAGAAGCAGACTTTAGGGCAAAGAGGGACAGCAGCAGAACTTGGAAGTATGCCAACACCCCATTTCCCCTTTGAACACTCAGCTTCAAAATTGGCACTTGGTATAGACTGTGACATGTGCCTCTAGAAAGGGTTCAAGTACCGCCCTCCTTTGAGCTGTAATCACTCAGCAGTTCATTAGACTGTGTCTTCTAATCAGTTCCACTACAAGGGTGGTCTTTTTAAAAGCACACGAGTCTATCTTTACTGACCTCTGAAGGCAATTTCTGCTCTTGCTTAGGGAAACCTGGGATATAGAAGATTCCATATGTCCTTATCATGATCCAAAGAATCTAATCTTTAAATGTTTCCTAGCCTCAGAAGCCATCATTTGATTTTTATAATAAATTCAGTGCAGTTATGTTCATTTCCATTTGTTAAAGGAGAGGCTAGAAGTTCAGAGAGTTGCTTACCCTAAGGTCGCACAGCTAATAAGTAGCAAAGCCTGTACTAGCACTCTGGTCTCTTATTCTACACTCTTAACCTCCCTGCTAGCTCTAGTTTTCCATCTCACCACTACAGAGCACTTATCAAAACCCACATTCTGGGCATTGGTAGGCCCAGTTTAGCTCCCAGGTATGGTAAGGGGAAGAGGGAGCATGGAGGCATGTTTTAGTTAATGCTCTTCTCACCAAATTGCTATACCTATGCATGGTAAGTGCTCTTCTGAAAAACATACTTCCATAGGAAGTGTCTATCCAAGTGGGAATGGAAAGCAGCCTTCCCCAGCATCCATTACTAGGCTCAACTGGAACCATAATGAGTCATTCTGGCCTCCGTCCTTGATTGTTTAATATATCACATACAACTTGATTAGGTGACTCAGGGCAAATGTGTGAAATGTTAAATGCCAGTCAAAAAGAGGGTCAAGGAAAAAGAGGAAGACCCCCTACTAAGATGGATTGGCACAGTGGCAGCAGCAATGGACTCGAGCATAGAAACAAGTGTGAGGATGGCACAGGGACCAGGCAGTGTTTCATTCTATTGTACACAAGGTCGCTATGACTCAGAACCAACTCGACAGCACCTAACAACAACAAATGCCAATACTTTCTCCTATCACTTAGACTTTTCCCTACCCATTTCTGATATTGTCAGGTGGCCCAGGTAAGTGAGCAGAGAGTTGGAGTCTAAAATTGGCTACTTTTGAGGGGGAGTCTCACTCAGATTTCCTGACTCATTCAACTCAGAGAATAATTTTAGCTTTGGAAAGGAAAGCAATGATTTGAAAAGAAAGTAAACCTCAATGTCGATGGAGTTTTAGAGAACAAGGAATTCAAATAAGATATTTATGATAGAAGAAGAAAATTATATGTGCCTTTATCTCCTCCTGTTCCCTGAAGCAGCCCACCTTAGGTAAGCAGATTACTCCTTAGTAGCCTTGAGAGGTGGAGTTTTGTATACCTGCTGGAGAGTACACTGCCCATTCAGAGGTTCCAGCTCCTAGTGGCTTTGGTCAAATCTCACCAACCTTCCTCCCTACATCTTCAAGCTCTATCAGGGCTGGTGGTTACAGAGCATCCTTATAAAGCAAATATGTCCTATTTGCAAAAGTCTTATGTTGGTGTTTGCCATAGTGACCCTATATACCAGGGAACTTCCAAAAGTTGATGGAAAAATTCCATTATCTTCCTGGCCCATTTTTCCAGCAACTTTGGGTAGTCCCTTGTAGAAGACAGAGCAGAACTGCTCCATATTTTCCCCCTTCTTTGTGGAAGCACATCACCAAATCTTGTCTTCCTTGGAGCTGCTGGTGCGTCTAAACAACCAACATTTCAGTTACAGACAAGCACCTAACCAGTATGTCACCAAGGTATAAATACTCCCTATTAGCAAATTTCTCATGGAGTACTAGATTTAAGAGAGGATAAAATTATTGAACCTGAATGACTTGATCCTAAAATGGAGCCTGTCATCTGGTTCTTCACTCACAAATGTCCAAAACGCACAGATCTTAGAGATAGGAAGAAAAACAACTAAACCCTTTAGGCAGCTCTAGAAGTGTTTCCGAAAGTTGTGTAAACTGATCTGTGTAAATGGAATTCTAATAAAGTAGAGATGGTTGCTATTTGAAGGAAGCGTTCCATTAATCCCTTTGTGATGTGAATAATCACCCCCCAATCTGTGTCTTCTGTAAATTTGCTTTTCATATGTTGGGTTTGCCTAAAGGAGGACACAGCTGTACTGAACTATTGCACATATTCCCCTACAGTCACTAGAAGTATCCACTTAGGGAATTTGAATCTATTTGCTTAACATTTTCAGACTTATGCAAGAGTTAATTTCATTGGCTTTAGGTACAGTGTGCGCCTTGTACTTTGGTTCAACAACTAAGTTGAAATACTTTATATAAATTTCACCCCATGGTTGTTTATATTTTCCAGTTAGAGCACGTTCTCGAAAACGTACTTAAGACAGTCAATGAGGTGAAGGCATCCCTTGAAGGCAGTTAAAGAATTGCACGGCAATCTCTCGCAAAGTGAAAATGCTCATGGACAAAAAGTGCCACTGTCTCTTAGCAGCAGTAAAAGGCACACATTTTTCTGTTTACTAGTAATATCCTGCTTCCTCTAAAAGAGATTCCAGACTAACATAAACACCAAGGTGCAATAAAATCAAAGCACCAGTAACATGAGAATAAAAGGTTAAGATCCACCAATAAAGTGGGGGAAAGTGGCTCATTTTGACAAATCTCAGCCAAGAGATGTTACTTGAGTTGAACAAAAACTCTGTGGGTTTCCTGGTGGCCAAAGCAAGAATGAGAAAGGTGCAATAATTTCTGTAGCTCTACTCCCACCTACAAAAGAAAAACACCAGAACACCGAGATAGATGTATCCTACACAAGTAACATTTTCCCTGGGTCAATATTTTGACTCCAATAGTATAACAAAACCTTAGTGAATCCTTGGTTACTAATCTAAAAATATCACCTATTTTACTGTTTTTTTTTTTTTTTTTGTGGTAAATATATACCAAAATAAAACAAAACCCCACTGTCATTGAGTTGATTCTGAGTCATCGTAACCCTGTATGATAGAATACAACTGCTCCATAGGATTGCCAAGGCTGCAAATCATTACAGAAACAGACTGCCACATCTTTCTCCCGCAGAGAAGTTGGTGGGTTCAAGCTGCAGACCTTCCAGTTAGCAGTCTGTGCCTTAACCACTGCACCACCAGACTCTGGTAAATATATAGGTAACAAAACATTTGCCGTTTCAAAGATCTTCATATGTACAATTCACCGTGATGTTCAACCATCACCATTAACCATTCCCAAACGTTTCCTCCGCACGTAATAGAAGTTCATCATTTTGGGAAATTATCAAGCTAACCATTTTGATGCCTCTCAGGCACATGGCTAGCTTGATATAGTCAGGGGAAGCTCATTTGGTTTATAAGATGGCATACTTGGAATGACCACATCTTTCCTACATAGTGCAGAAGAGGAACAAGGAAGCTGTTCTCCACAAGATTCAGGAGATTAAAAGATCCGTGTCAGAATCACTGAGAAGGAGTTAATGTCTAATAATATACTTTGTAATAATAATAATAAAATGCTTAACAGCTTACAAAGCACTTTCACAGGCATATATGTATGTTTACTTCTCACCCTCATGTGAGTAGGTATAAGTGTCCTTTTTTTGTCCTTGAGAAAGAGGTTCAGAGAGGTTCTGTGACTTACTCAAAGTGATAGTCAGCGGTAGATCTGGGCCCTTAGATACAGGAGTGCATCAAAAGAAGAGATTCAGAGGGCTGAGTCAATCATGTATTCATTCAAACAAAATTTAAGCCATTAGTGAACACCAGGTAGTAGCAGTCTTAGCAATAGACTTTTTAAATAGTTGCTTTTTTATTGAGATAGGGTTTACATATAATAAGATACACTCATTTAGAGTTAACAAATTGATTGACTTTTTTTTCTCAGTGGTGTAAATATATATAATGCAACATCCGCCAATTCAACATTTTCCACATGTACTATTCAGTGACAGACATCGTTCTTAAAAATCACCATTTAAAAGAATAATCAGTAGCCTTCTTACAAGTTTCATAATTATGTGCATTTGCTAGAGACAAGACCAAGAATATGAAATAGAAAAAATTTGTGCCATAATGTATACGTTTTACTCAAAACCCCTACATCTGTACAATAATGACTTTCTAAAGATCCAATATCTTGTCTCCCAAGCAGATCATACAACCTGAGAATCTAAATATTTTATAACATTAGGGCCACACTCTCAGAATTATGCATTTCATTGAACAAATTGCCTGTCTATCCCCCAAGAATCCCATTTCAGTATCATTTCTATAGAGTTTTTCACAGTTCCATGCACACCTCAATTTCTATTAGAATAACTTGTCCTCTGATTTGAGACGGTGTCATCCTCTTAAAAGATAAATTCTTTAAAATGGCATGCACATTATTTTGAAGACAGAAAAACTGAATGTAATCAGAGTATATTTTTCCAGTATGAAAAGTCTCAGATATGAAAAGAACAAAATGTCCTTTTCTCTCCTTTGTATCATATCTATCTGTGAAATAACAAACGATTATTAGCATTTTGCAAGATAGTATTTGACATTAGCATTCTAGTTTGTCATATAAACAAGGTTTATTAACTGCAAAGGACTCCTGGTGTGGCGCTATAGAATAAGCATTAGACTGCTAACTGCAAGGTCAGCAATTCAAACCCACCAGCAGCTTCTCAGAAACCCTATTCTGGGTCACTGTGAATCGGAACCGACTTGACAGCACTTAATAACTGCAAACTCATAGAAGTTTGTAAATGGAAGTGATTTGGGGTTTCAGAAGAGAAGGAATCATCTTGGCATCTGGCTTCCCATTTATTTAGCACTGTTGCTGCTTTTATTTTTCAACAGGAAAAAAATATTCAGAAAGGAAATGACTATGCTCCGTGTTAGTTTGGGATAATCTACATTCCTTGGTTACAGAACTTTGATGCATAGGAGCGCATCAGAGTCACACCAGTTCTTTTGGGTGAATTTGGTTATTTTCCCTGGGGTTGGAGAGGAGAGTGAACCAAGTCATACGTTAAGGGAATGCCTCCTTTTATAAAAACTTAGATGAATTGCACCCTCTCCACCAGATTTCCCTTGATAGATGGGCAGGCACCATTTGTAGCCACAGAGCATAACAACAGATGGGCTGTGCCAAAAGAAGGTAGTCCCCAAAGTCACATTGGATCATTTTATTACTTACACTGATATACAAATGTGCATATTATCCAGGAGTTGTCACTGAACAAGTATTCTGGTATGATTTACAATATCCCTTCAGTCCATTTTGTTGAACCAAAAGGAAAAATCAAAAAAAAAAAAAAAAAAAGACCATGGCAACAGTATAGATTATACATGAACACTTTCTGAAAAGAAGATTATGCTTCTCCAGTCTTTTTTGCTTCATATCCATACAGTGTGTGTGCATAACTGTGTACAATATAGCTGACCATCATGCAGTGGGCACAGAGCTCTTGTAAAATGAGCAGTTATCTCTGCTCACCAGCTGTCATTGTTGTGAGCTACCGTAGAGTGAATTCCATCCCATGGTAACCCCATGTGTGTGGAGTAGAGTGCTCCACCAGGTTTTCAGAAGCAGATTGCCTGGTGTGTCTGCAAAGCCATCACTGGGTAGGTTGAAACTACCAACCTTTCAGCTTGTAGTCGAGTGTGTAACCATATGCACCATCCAGGGACTCCACTCTCCAAGTAAGGGGTCCCAAACCCAGAGATGGAGAGCAAGCAGTTCTCACCAGATGACCTAGGCAGTACATGTCAAATCTTGAGTTCTGTCCCTTATTCCAAAATCTCGGGGCTGTTGGTTTATAGAACCCTCTGCCTTCCATATACACACATTTACATTGCACACGCCTACCAACTTTGTATAGAGTTAAAGTACAGGGAAGTCTGGTGGCGTCTGCTTGGCTGCTAACCAAAAGGTTGGCGACTCAGACCCACTCAGCAGTTCCACTGAAGAAAGACCTAGCAATCTTGTTCTGTACAGATTACAACCAAGAATGCCCATGGAAGAGTTCTACGCTGTAATTTATTTTTGCCCTGAGTTAGTTGCTGACAACACCTAACAATGAACATGAGCGGGTACTAGAGCATCCATTTAACCACAAAGGCATCAGTGAGCCCCTAAGAATGAGTTGTTTATGGAACATATGAAACCTTAAATTAGTACATTGTGACATGTTCAGGAGTAGGGTTCTGATAATCCCACCAGCTCTGCCATAAGAAAAAAACATCTGGAAAGACTGTTTGAATCTCTTTCTGTGAATTCATTTGACATGTATACTTTCTTAGCTCTTCATGACCGGGAGGGTATATATATATATATATCCTGTCTTTCCTTTCCTTCCCTTCCTCTTCCATCCTTGTTTCCTCTCTTTGTTTTCATCTTTGTACAAGTGTATGTTTCCTACCAAGACCTCAACACAGGACAGCATATATCAGGACATCCAAAATACAGAGAGACCAATGCTCCTTGCATACTCAGCTACTGGCTTCCACACAGATCTTGCTGGCTCTCAAAGCCCAGGAAAGCAGCCTTTGTCTTACAGATGATGACTGTAGATCCCTTCATGGCCCAATATAAATACATTAGAATTCAGGGGTGAGAAACATCTGGCCTATGGCCATATGTTGCTGTTGTTGTGAAGTTGCTGTCGAGTCGGTTTTGGCTCATAGTGACCCTGTATAGGATTTCCAAGGAGCTGCTGGTGAGTTTGAACTGTCAACCTTGCAGTTCAAATCGACCTTGATGTTAAGTGCTTATCCTGTGGCTCCACACTAGGCTGTATGTTGTTGTTCAGTGCCGTCAAGTTCGTTCTAACTCATAGCGACCATGTATAGCGTCTCCAAGGAGCAGCTGGTGGGTTTGAACTGCCAACCTTATGGTTTGCTGATCCTATAGCGCCATACCAGGAGTCCAGCCAACACATTTTGTTGTTGTTGTTAAGTGCCGTCGAGACGGTTCCGACCCATAGCGACCCTGTATAGGGTTTCTGAGAAGTGGCTGGTAAGCTTGAACCTCTGACCTTGAGGATCAAACCGACTTTGCAGTCCATCACATTAACCTACAATGCTACACCAGGAATCCACATTAGGGGTGAGTCAAACATTTGATCGAATATAGCAGGCTAATTTTTAAGTTGATAATTTTGTATGACTCTGAATGATGTTATTAATTTTGGCAGAACAAAAAGGTTCCCCACCCCTGTGTTAGATGGACAGGGTTGTAGCCCTCATTTCCTGGATCCTAAAGCCACCTTACATTTGTAATAAACAGAGGTGAAGATGAATAATAGAAAATTCAAATACCAGCCCATCTCCTCAGCACCAGCTGAGCTGGGTCTGCATGGAGGACCAACCCCAGTCCCAACAGTTCTTTGCCAGCCAGTATCATTCGGTAGCATGCATTTACTTCTTGTGTTTAAAGTCCCCTTGGGAAGTTGGATGCCCTCAGAGCACCAGGTCTCTCTTGTAACTTATCAGAGTCCAGAGACTGGGAATAGCTACAAGGTATGAGCAAGTGTTACCAGAAACTCCCTCTGAAAGGCTGGATGTTGTTAAATATGCATGTAGTCCAAGCAAGTGGCTAAGCCCTGGGCACTTTGTAAGGCATTCTTAACCAAAATAATGTGCAACAATCTTAAAGCACATTTTTTTAGGCTACACTAGTATTTATTATGGCATCCCGGGATGTTGCATACAGTAAATGTACCTGGCTGCTACCTAAAAGGGTGAAGGTTTAAGTCCATGTGGAAGCACCTTGGAAGAAAGGCCTGGTCACCTGGAGCCGAATTCTACCATGACACACCTGTGGTAATATGAGTCGGTGTCAACTTAAAAGCAACTTGTTGTCTATTGCTTTTATTTGTTTGTTTTTAGTGTTTATCATGTAGGTGTTTCCAATCTTAAGTCTATATGAAGCTTAGAACTAGAATTATTTTATTTCTGCCTGATCTCTTTCATTCCTCTGTAGCACTCTCACACAAACTTACTGGGGGAGTACATGTGTATTTGTGTGACTACGTGGTTTACATATAGCCATTTCCTTCACTAGCCTGTAAGACTCATGAGGACAGAGATGATAACTCCTTTTGCTCACTGACGACCTACTCACCTACCACTCTGCTGGAAGATATTCAAGAAATGTTTGTAAATAAAGATGAGAGAATTCACAGAAGTCATCCCTGTGGTGGTAATACCTAAGAAGGGTGCAGAGATTAAAGAGACTCCTAAACAAGATACTGGTGTGACTTTTAAAAGGGTGAAGACCCAAAGGATAGGAACATTCTTTGATATAACTGTAGATTTCTGAAGCTGTGCTCAATTACTGATTATTAACCAAGAAGATGTATGAAATATCAAGCATGCATTTGCATAGCAGATAATGGAATGGAGAGGGCTGTTAACAATCAAACCACAGGAGATTTAATAGTCCATCAAAAGCAATGTCCAAGAATAGATTGCAAATGCGTGGTGTTTAAAAGTGCTTTCTGGTTTTCGTTTCCGGCACAGATTGTGGACGGCAAGCTATGGTTCCAGTTGGACTGTGGCAGCGGCCCGGGCATCTTGGGCATCTCAGGTCGCGCTGTCAACGACGGAAGCTGGCACTCAGTCTTCCTGGAACTCAATCGCAACTTCACGAGTCTGTCCCTGGATGACAGCTATGTGGAGCGGCGCAGGGCACCCCTCTACTTCCAGAAGCTAAGCACCGAGAGTACCATCTACTTCGGGGCCCTGGTACAGGCAGATAACATCCGCAGTCTGACAGATACACGGGTCACACAGGTGCTGAGCGGTTTCCAGGGATGCCTCGACTCCGTGATGCTCAACAACAATGAGCTGCCTCTCCAGAACAAACGCAGCAGCTTCGCCGAGGTCGTGGGCCTGACAGAGCTGAAACTGGGCTGCGTGCTCTATCCTGACGCCTGTGAGCGCAGCCCGTGCCAGCCGGGGGGCAGCTGCACCAGCCTTCCCTCTGGGGGTGAGTAGCCCAAGGCCGAGCCAATGGGGGGTACTGTGCCAGGCAGAGGGTGGGGAGAGATGGACCTATAGGCTGAACACCTGCATTCCTAACAAATGTTGGTACCCTCATGGAGAGTTCACACCAAGATGCTTCATCCCCTTTACAGAGGCCTCAGAGCTTGACAAATACAGGCAAGTTCAACACAGTCCTGAGAACCCACTTGCAATAGCCCCAAGGCCAGTTCAGTGACCGTAGGAGTCAGACTTGCCACCATCATCTCCTGCTCCCTGTCCACCTCATAGACTTCCAGAGACTTGGACAAATAAGGCCATTTTTAAGTATTTAATACAGCCTTTGTGGTTCAGTGGTTAAGCACTCAGCTGCTAATGGGAAGGTCAGCCATTCAAGCTCACCAACTTCTCCAAGGGAGAAAGATGTGGGAGTCTGCTTTCCTAAAGATTTTATAGCTGTACAAACCCTATGAAGCAGTTCTACCCTGCCCAGGAGTCAGAATAGATTTAACGGTGGTGAGTTTGGTTTGTTTTAAAGGATTTGTCCTTTTGAACCACCTTCATCTTTACATCACTGCAGACGTGAAGTGGTGGTTGAGTGTTCTTCACTCAGTCCTCTTACTGGATGGAATCACTGATTAAAGACAGACACAGAACCAACCCTAACAACAATTGTGAGGATGGTGCAAGACCAGGCAGTGTTTCTTTCCGTTGTGTGTAGGGTTGCTGAGTCAGAAATGACTCCACGGCACTTAACAACAACAGGAGGAGAAGTGGGGAGTCCCTAGGTGGTGCAAATGTTAACCAAAAGTTTGGAGGTTTGAATCCACCCAAAGATGCCTCAGAAGCAAAGCCTCATGATCTACTTCCCAAAACCCAGCCACTGAAAACCCTATGGAGCAGGGTTCTACTGTGATATACATGGGTCTCCAGGAATATCACTCAGCAGCAACTAGGAAACGGGTAAGGAGAGGGGGCGGGAGCAATAAACCCAGCACCTCAGGAGTATAAAAGAGTGTCCATGCTTCTGAAATGTGCATATTAAAATAAGACTGTGATAGCTCTACAAAGGTGTACAAAAATACAAAATAAAAGGTTTTTTACATGAGGCTGAAGATAAACAATCAGTGAAGGCATGATGCATTTCTTTACTCCAATCATTTATTTTTTCTTGCAATGATACATCATGAAGAAGAAAGAAAGAACCATATAGTGTAGGCCAAAGAGACAAGGATTTATACAGGGCTTTCTATTGTTTGAGGGGGGAAAAAAAGCTAACATTATTTCAGTCCTGAGAGACTGAAGATGAAAGAATCCTTCAACTTTGCCCAGATCTGTGTTCATGTTAACTAGGTCAGGCTCTATTCCATTTGAAGGCTTTGCCACCTCCCAATAGTCCAACCACTGCTCTGCTTCAGTCCCTTTGTAGAGTCACATTGGTAGTGTGATTAGCAAACTTAAACCTTCCTCACAATCACTTAGTGATTCTGCTGTGCATGTTACCTTCTAATGTTCAGGAAGCCCAACTCCAAATTTAGAGTCCATTTTATTATTAGAATGTTATAAACCGTCCATGAAATGATTCACTGCCCAAATGCAGACACCAAAGTTATTTAGACTTGCATATGTTACTGCCACAATGAGGGCCAAGTACCCTGGGGGGAAATTTCTGCCATCTCGATTTAAGAAATCTATTTGCTGTTTTTACTGTCTCAGCAGTATATGTAAATAAAGGGTTGTTATGGTGCCATAATTCCCACATGATGGGCAGTAACTATACTTCAGTGGTTCTATAAACTAGCCCATTATGACAAGCCATGGCCAGTTTTTCACTAAGGAAAACAATTCTGCTGGTGTGAGCCATCTCCAATATATAAAAGGAACATATCATTAAATTGGGTTGAAATAGAACACCATTCCATGTCAAATGCTGGTTACACAGCCACAAATCATAACAGACTTTTAACGATGGCTAGATGTTGTTTTTGCTGGCAACGCTATAGGCTTCCACAATGGGTTATCTTTAAAATAATAATAATGATGATGACTTTATTAAGGAAAAGGACTATGGGCTCTGACTCTTGAGTCTGCATTTTAGTTTCTTTCAAAAATTGCCATAAAATCTTGAAACCAAATGTTCAGTGAATAACAATGACCCACATCAGAAAAGGCACTTTCCTCTGTTTTTCATTCTTTCTTTTGTTTTAACCAAATTTCAGCAGTTCAGATCCACCTGCCATAAACTTTTCATGTGGCCCAAAGGACTTGTTTTCCTCTCTCACATGGCTCTAGAACATAGTCTCTCACACTCCTTTTTGTTTTCCTGCTTCTTTCTCACTTCCCTTTGTGACTGTGCTTGGGATTTCATTTCAGGTACTCTTTCTCCCATAGTGACATAGGCTCTTAGTAGTTCAAGTCTCTCCTCAGTGTATTCCTGCAATGGAGAAAGCATGTTTCCCCTCCTCCTCCATCTTCACAAATCTATTTTCTCAAAAGCCTATTGCCTCTTGTTTATGGCACCGTGGGTTAAAGGTTGGGCTGCTAACCATGAGGTCTGTGGTTCAAACCTGTCAGATACTCTGTAGGAGAAAGATGAGGCTGTCTGCTCTCATAAAAATGTAAAGGCTCAGAAACCCTATATATAAGGTCACTATGAGTCAGAATCCACTCAGTTGCAGTGGGTTTGGCTTGGTTTTTTACTTAATTGAGGGGATGGGCATACCTGCGGGAAGTAAATGGTTAAGGACTTGACTACAAATCAAAATATTGATAGTTTGAATTCACCCAGAGGCACCTGAAAGAAAGACCAGGCCATCTACCTCTAAAAGATCATTGTCTCTGAAAACCCTATGGAGCATAGTTCTACTCTGAAACATATGGGGTCACCATGGAATCGACTTAGAAGCAGCTAGTTTGGTTTTAATATCTTTTTCTGCATAACCCAGCAAGAGCAGCTCCCCACCATGGTGATGCCAAGGATCCTAATCCTGTGCTAAGATTCATTTCAGCAGACTTCTGGTGCATCTGGGATCCTTAAACACAGCAGTAGAAATCCCAAAGCCAGAAAACACCTTGCCAGGAAATCCCTAAGAGAGCTTCCATTGCTTCTCTAGGCAGGGGAAGGTACAAGATGCCTCTTCTGATGTGTGAGGAGAAGAATCCATATTCTTTCCCCCATTATCTTGTTATGTCAGATGAAGTTTTGTTAAGTCCTTGTATCCTATCTGCAAATTTCTGAAATTGGTGCCCCCCCCAAAAAAAAAAGTCAGTTATCTGATCTTTACTTCATACATATGAACTGTGTGGCTAGTAACAATTTTCTTAAAATAAGGAAAAACACATCTTAGTTGTGAGTGATCATTTAAAATGAACAATAAGAATGAGTCTTTAATGTAAATGTTTTCAGGCCTCAAGCACTTCCTCTGGCAGACTGGGAGGTCTTAGAAGCTAATCACAGAGGAAGGCAATCTTGCATCCCAAGATCAAAGGCTAGAATGCATGCATACAATATTCAAAGAGGAAATTTGAGGGAGAGAGAGAGGTGCTTCCTTGCATATGAGGATGATGATAAAGGAAACTAATCGTTGGATCATCTAGCTGTCATTTGAACCCTGTTTTGGGGGGTATGCCAGAATTCCAGGACAAATACTTTGCTAAATTCATCTCTGTGGCTGATGGAAAACTGGTTCTTGACTCTCTTAGTGAGAGACTTCACTATGAAACTGTGGCTTTCCCAGTACATTGTTCCAGAACATCTACAGTCCTTAAGCAGGCAGCCCACAGCAAGAAGGATTTTCTTTCAGAGAAATAGAATGTTGCCCCAACCACCCCCAAACCCAATCAAACCCTTGGCACAAAGAGCAGGGAAGCTGCGTATGCTAGCTTGGAATGACATGGTCAGCATGTTTGACCAGAGTTATAACTAGCTGTCCCAGGAGCAAGCCATAGGAACCCCAGGGGAATCAGAGCCCATAATGCTGACTTGTAATAAGAGTGTAAATATGGCTCTGTAAATCAACCACAGAGGGTAAGCTCTCTCTTGGTAAAGCCTTAAAATTATATGTGTTTTATAAACATGATCTGGAAATAGCAACCACCATGGAGAAGAAATAACCTGGGCTCATTCTGACCTTTGTACTTCCAAACCCAGTGAGCAGGAAGCAGCCTAGTGGACTCCCACAATCTGATTCTGAAGCTAAACTAAGGAGTCCATATTCTTCCATGCCTGCACCTCATCCCGTTCAAGCTGAGTTAAAGCTAAGCTGTAGCTTGGTAATACAATGCAACCAGCAAGGCAGTCACCAAGCCAGAAATAGTCACTGAGACAGATTTGCATGAGACTGGAATACTAATTCCTAAATGAAATGTTGGGCAAAATTTTACTTTCTGCTAAGAGCTACCATTTGTTAGACACTTACCATGTGCTTGTACTTTAATAAGTACTGTTCAGACTCACAAGCTGCTCCTCCAAAACCCAATACAGAGTTGCTATGAATCAGAACTGACTCGATGGCATTTAACAACAACAACAACCTTGCAAGTGCTATGATATTTCATTTTCACAACAATGCTCTGGGATGTGTATATCCCTTAACTCCAACCCCGTTTTCACAGAACAGGGCCAGAGGTTAAGTAATAAGCCCAGCTAATAAACCAAAGCCAAGATTTGACCCAGATTTGTGGGACTGTCTCCCCAGGCTATGCTCTTAACCCTTCTATTCAGAATGCCTTCCAAGGATCTGCAGCATCAACATCACTGGGGAGGCTGGAAATGCAGATTCCCAGTCATTACACCTCATACATATCCATCATCTCTCTGTTCCTGGAGGCTTGCATGTTATTATGATGCTGAACAGGTTTCAGGGAGCTTCCACACTAAGACAGATTAGATCTTACAAAAGGGCTGGTGATCTCCTTCTGGAAATCGGTCAATGAAAACTCATGGACCCATGAATCCCAATGGTCCAATCTGTGACTGATCTCAGGGATGGCTCAGGATCAAACAGC